GGAAAGATACAGAAGGCTGGGGAGAAGGATATTATTACCCTTTGTATTTAATCTCAGGCCAGACTGAAATCTTGTCATTTGTTCAGGATTACTGAAAATCACAGTTTTCTACTTTCTGTTAAACACTAATACATTGAACATTTAATATGCTTGAGTATTACCTCAAACTAGATTTATATCCCATGACACTATGAGGAATGCAAAGTCAGGTAAAATGCAGTCTCTGCCCTCCAGATTTCATGATGCAGTAGGAGAAATAGCTATATATTGCAGAGCAGCCCACAGTAGTAAACTGTACACTGTGACCGGTACATTTACGTGTGTGTGTACGTTTATATTATCTGACCAAAAAGTTTCATTAAACTGTACTTATTTACCTTTATTTTGTGTAATGCACTCTGATACTGTCTCTTTTGTTTCTGTGTCTACTCTGTTTCATGTTTTTAGGAATGCTGACATTTGCTTCATGACCCACTAAAGAGACACAGTGTTCAATGTTAAAAAAACTATTCTAGAGTATGTTAAGCATTATTTTAGGCCATTTTATATGTATCTTCCTTGTTGTGGTTTTATGTAGGAAATACTGATCGAAGAGATCTATAAAAGGAGGTATGAGTTCTTGTATATATAATTGTAAAATCCATTTTCTTTAATTTACTCACAGAGCAGCCCTTTCGACTTATTCCTCTGCAACACTCGAAGGTGGCCAGTGTTGTTAGAGAGCAGAATCTTTCTAATGTGTGGACAGTTGAATACGCCCTTGAATTATTATTTATTGGTGGCCTGGTTCCAGAAGCTGTGTGGTTGGCACAGAAACTTGGTGACTGGAAGACATCTGTTTCCATTGGTGTGGCCTTGCAGCTGTTCTGTAAACATGATAGCAATTTCACAAGGTATGTATTTTTAGGAAAGTATGATGGTGTCATCTAAAATATTTTTTATTTCAGTCATTGCTGGTATTTACGCATTTTGTGGAATCCTTAGTTCAGCATTGTCCAATAGAACTTTTTTCAGTAATGGAAATATTCTATATGTACTATCCAGTCTGATAGCTACTAGCCACATGTATTTATTGAGCACTTGAAATGTGGATAGTAAGACCAAGGAACTGGATTTTCCATCTAATTTTAATTAATTTAAATTTAGAGAGCTATATGCAGCTAGTGGCTACTGTATTGGACAGATCAGAGGCTTACTTACGGCGTTAAAACATCTATTTAGCACATTAATTTGTTAGTAGTCCCCTCAAAGGGCCTATAGTCAATGGGAAAGTTTGCCTTTCCCAAACAGGATTTGAGTTTTAAGCTAATCAAACTAATCCCTATATTTTAACTATTCTGAAGGTTATGGTATTGCTGTGTCTTCTATATTTTTTAATTCAATAATTCAATGTATGTTTATTTATTAAGTAACTCTGTATCAAGCTCTATGCCAGGTGTTGTAGTGGATTGTAAACTTAAATGGTACATAGTTTCTATGCTTAGGCATTTATAGTTTAATAGGGAAAATAGGACAAAACATTATTACAATTTACATAGTATGGTAAGAAAAGTGCCTGTGGTACAGTAGGGAGAGCAATAATATCAAGTGAGGGAAGGACAGGAAATACTTTATGTGGGAGATGTCATTTGAGATGGGCATTGAAGGGAAGATGGGATCTTGACAAACTGAGTAGCTGTAGGGAGAGAGACCATTCCAAACGTGAGCAAAGGCATATGGCAAAAGCAAGTTTGGTTTGGTTTGGATAGAGTACGTATGTAGGGCAGCAGTGGGAGGTAAGGATGAGGAGATATATTAGTACCATAATTATGGAAAGCCTTAATACTACCCTTAATACAGTATTTCCTTGCTTATTTCTTGTCTAAATACAGGATGAATAAAGTGAATTTCTCTGTTCTTTAAAATTTTATGTTTAGCTCTTGATGTGTGTATGTTTCCTTTTTCCAAAATTTGTATTCTTTTCCCTTAATTTGATGTGATTTCAGGTCCAGGAAAAAGGGTCTGAATCTACCGTTAAATATGACTCCAGCACAGATTTTCCAGGAAAAACTGCAGTGTTTTTTAGGTCAGCCAGCCTCTTTGGAAGCAAAAAAAGAAATGGGCTCAAAATACAAACAGTTTACAGGTGTGTTACCTATGTATTGTCGACACATGTATCAGCTTAATTAATATAAAGCTTATGGTATTTTAAAAAGCTTTTAAGTACCCACACATATATTAATGCTTTGAAGTAATAAGCTTATCAAAAATGAAATTTTGCTATTTATTCTTAATAATGGGAGCATCCCAAACTGATGCAGTTCAAAATACAATGTTCAGTATCTGAATGATATTCTGATTTTCCATACATAGCTTTTCTTTATACTAGTGGTATTTTGCTGCATTTAGATTGTTTTCTTTTGCAGTCATAGAATCATAGAATCTCAGATGTCGAGGGGTGTTTAGAACCTCTTGCCTAATGCATAAATCATAGAGTTGTTTTTTGCTTTTAATTTGAAAAGTTCTGAGTGGTATTATAAAAAAATAATATAATATTACATGTAATACATAGATTTACCCAGGAGCCCTATAAAATTCGTCTGTTTTAAAGATGGGGAAATTTAGACAAAAAGTAATGAAGTCTGTTATTTAAAGTCATATATTTAATGATAAAACCAGGATAGCTGTTTTGTTTTATTAGTGCTTGTCTCCATTAAGGAGTGAGACTTTGCTCTAGATTCCTAGAGCTTATTAATTATAACTTCTCTTTCTGGAAAGAATTCATAATACTTGGAAATCAGACTGAAAATTTCTTTGATAATTTTCTGTCAATTTTTTTTTTAAGTAAATGAAAGATAATGTATCTACATGAAAGTTGATTTTGCAAAAAAGGACTAAAAAATTCCCAGTCTGAACTTCCAATTCTGGCAATATATTGTTTTAGATGATCTGAAAACTCTCCCACAATAAATACATAGATACAGTGTGTTTCTAGATAAAATATAAAGATATGCATTTAAAGGCTAAGATTTAAAGAAAGTAAGGGAAATTTCCAGGGGTCAGAAACAAAGAGAAAAAGTCAATGGATTCCACCCCTAGGTATTTACCCAGAAAAATAAAAACATAGGTCCACTGAAAAACCTGTATATGAATGTTCATAGCAGCTTTTTCATAATAGCCAAAAACTTGAAACAACCCAGATGCTTATCAACTTGTGGATGGAAGAACAAATTGCAATTTATCTGTAAATGGAATAATAATTAATAAAGTGTAGCAAACTACTGATAACATGCAACAACATGGATGAATTGAAGAACCATTATGCTGAATGAAAGAACTCAGAAATAAAACTACACACTGTGTGATTCCATTTATGTGATTTTATAAAAAGCAACACTATAGGGACAAGAAACAGATCAATGGTTACATGGGAGTAAGGGGGGAATTGACAACAAAAGGGTATAAGAACTTTTTTGGAGTGATGAAAATGTTATTATAGGCTGTATAGATTTGCCAAAATTCATTGAATTGGGGACTTCCCTGGTGGTCCAGTGGTTAAGACTCTGTACTCCTAGTGCAGGGGGCCCAGATTCCATCCCTGGTCAGGGAAGTGGATCCCGCATGCCACAACTAAGCCGCGTGCCGCAGCTAAGACCTAGCGCAGCCAAATAAATACTTTAAAAAACAAACAAAAAACAAACAAAACTCATTGAACTGTACACTTAAAAAGGGTAAATTTTAGTGTATGTAAATTATACCTCAACAAACTGATTTAAAAACAAAGAACTCAGCAGATGGTTAGTGAACTGGAAAATGAATTTGATCTATCTCTGTATATATACACACACACAAAATATATATAGAGAGAGATAAAAATGTATAAAGAAAAGAGTTGGAAAATATGAAACAGAAGTTAAACTTTGTATAGAATGTTGTGGAAGACACAACATATGTGTAATAGGAGTTTCAGTAGAGCCACACCAAATTCTGGATAGTGACTACCTCTGGAGAGAGGAAGTGAAATATGATTGGTACCTAAGGAATTTCAGCTGTATTTGCAACATTCTTTTTTAATCTAAATTGAATGTAGGAAACATGTTAATATCAGACAAGGATGAAAAGTCAGTACGTGAGTGTTTTCATATTATATTCTATACCTTAAAGTATGCATAAAATATTTCCTAATATAAAAGTGTGTAAGTCTCCAATTCTGCCACCTGCATCTCTGCATTTTGCCTCCAGGAACATGTCTCCATATATACATACACTTATATAATTGAAGCCATACTGTACGACTATTTTGTATATTTCTGGGGTTTTTTTTTTAGCTTCACAAGTCCTTTTTATTATAAAAAGTACTGTGATGGACTATTATGAAAAAGAAAATAATTACTCTCTCACTGCCTTCATATAATGTTGTATATTATTTTGGAGTCTTTCTTGACATTTTATTTTTCCCATTAATATTTTTTTCTTTTATTATTATTTTTGAGTCATGACTATATTCCAAGAATTTTTTATTATATAATTGTTATTACAGTGCCTTGTATAATTTTGGAAAAGTTTGTGCTCTGATTACCTATGATCTTAAAAGTAAGAGAGTCTTTATTAAGTTTCTGTCTAGAAGTCTGGGTGTTTTGCATGTCAACCAATATGTTCATTTTTGGCAATCAGCTTTTTCAGATACGAAATTTTATCCTATAAAATAACATGAAAAGTATAATATAAATTTTAACTACCTAATTTTGTATTTGCTAGATCCCATTGAAGAAGAAGATGCAGATCTGCTATTTGGTTCTGTGCAGGAAGTACTGAAAGCAGCAGTTATGGCTGATGCAGATATTCTTTCAGAGACATTTCAGCTTCTGATAAACTCTGCCAAGGACTTCAGTCAGAGACTGTGGGGCTTAGTGCCGGTCGGCTTGTATCTTCCAGCTCCTCCATTATATTGTCCTCAGCCAGCTGTTCTTAGTGAAGTAAGCTTAGTGCTTAATCTTTTAATTAATTTAAAATTGATTTTGTCCAATTTTTAATAATCAACTTGATAATAATCATCAAGTTAAAAATGCAGGCTCTGAAGCTAACTTCTGGATTCCAGCTTTGCTGTTTATTTACTGTGTAATATTGGGCAATGTACTAAACTGATGTTTAAGTTTCCTTATCTGTAAAATGAAGATGATGATAGTACCTCTGACAGCATTATTGAGAGTATTAAATGAGATATCCTGTAAAAACTTTTACTTTAGGGCTTAGGACACATAGTAAGCATTCAATAAATATTAAAATTATTTCAATAATAAAACAAAATTAAGAGATATTTCTCTGTATCCAGATTTTTAAAAAATAAACATTTGTTTAGGTAGCAAAAAGAATGTCAGAATTTAGAAGCCATACATTATTTTTTATTTATTTATTTATTTATGGCTGTGTTGGGTCTTCGTTGCTGTGTGCGGGCTTTCTCTAGTTGTGGTGAGCGGGGGCTACTCTTCATTGCGGTGCGCAGGCTTCTTATTGCGGTGGCTTCTCTTGTTGTGGAGCACGGGATCTAGGCACGCAGGCTTCAGTAGTTGTGGCATGTGGGCTCAGTAGTTGCGGCTTGCAGGCTCTAGAGTGCAGGCTCAGTAGTTGTGGCCCGTGGGCTTAGTTGCTCTGTGGCATGTGGAATCTTCCAGGGCCAGGGCTTGAACTCGTGTCCCCTGCATTGGCAGGTGGATTCTTAACCACTGTGCCACCAGGGAAGTCCCAAGCCATACATTATTTTAGTCTTTTATTCATCTCATTGTCTGTGCCTCTTTTGAAAGACTTAGTTTGATTTTTCTTTGATTTGAAAGGTCATTTTTTTCTCCTACACTTTTCAATTGATAGTTCTGTCTTATAAATAGCAATACTGTATTCCTCTCAGGAACTTTTCCTCTGCTCTTATTGAAAATCATAACATAGCTGGTTTTAGGATTTAAAGTGTTAATGTAAATTATTTACATTTAAATTGTTTTAATATTCAGTTAGCTGTCTAAATTGATACTGGTATTGTTTCTTTACTACTTTTTCAGAATTAGCAACTTTTTTTCCTTTTCTTTTTTTAGACTTATTTGCTGTATTCTCATTGTTGTATTTCGAGTTACGTTTCAGTAGGTTAAAATATTTCATTTGTTGATATTTCAGGTGTAATATATTACAAATGGAAAGAATAAGTAGTCCATGGTTTTTCTCAGTAATTCCTCTTTCCTCTCATATCTGAGTCTTCAGTGTGTTGGTTTAGGAATTAGAAATAGCATTTAAGATATTTTTAGATATGCTGTGCTGATATTAGTTTGGTAACTATCCTTAGTAGTACTTCATTTTATTATTTTTTAGTAAAATAATCTCCAATGGTAGGATTTCTCTTAAATGTCCCTCTGTATCAGTTAGAACCCTTTAGGTTGTAAGTAACAGAAAACTTGGTAAATATTGGCTGGCATAATTGAGAAGCCCAGTTATGTTACCAAAGACTTGGGCTCTTTCTTTTAGTTTGTTTTTTAAGGTGTCAGCTTCAGTTTCAGGCTGGCTCCCTTTGTGGGAGCAGGATGGCTGCCAGTAGCTTCTAAGGATACCTTGTCCATGTCCAAAGGGAGTGGGAATGGGAGAAAGAAAAGCAGTAAAAGTATTTCTTTCCCAGCATTCCAAGCAAGAGTACTGAGAGTTACTCTTATAAGACCGACTGAGGTCACTTCCCTGTCCTCGAATCAAACACCTTGGCTAGGGCTAATACAAAGTACTGCTTGGCAATTGACTAGGGCCTTCCTTGGCAGCTAGGGGTATGGGATCAGCTCTGCTTGAATCATATGGCTGTGTAGGAGAGGGGCAGATACCCAAATAAAAACTGAATACTCTTAAGAAGTGACAATGGTAGGAGAAGGTTGGGGAAGCAAATGTTTACAGTACTCACATTATGTCATTCTCTGGGAAATTAATCTGTAGCTACTGACTTGAATTGTGTTTATTCAAGAAACATTTGTTGGATCCTACCACGTATTGGAGTTTACTCTATGCACTATATGACAAGGCCTTTGCTCCTGGGTAGTTCTCAATAGTGTGGGAAACAGATACATAAATCAGCAAGAATAGATTAGTGAAAGCTATAATGGAAGTCTGAGCAAAGTGTCATAGGAGCACAGAATGGGAGGGCTTCACAGAGGAGGTGACATTGAAATATAATGGGATTTTTCCAGGAAGAGGAAGGGAAAAGTCATTCTTTTTGAAAGGAGCTTTCTCTGTAACATTCCACCCATGGAGCCAGGGGTGATGGCTTCAACTGTTGTAGCTGAAGACTTGGGATTAGGGTCGATTTACCCCTTTACATTGTTTGAGGTGAGAGAAGTGTTTCCTTGACACTAGAAATAGCTGTAGTTAATCTCTGAGGCCATGCCTCAAAACTTCCTTTATAAACGTCCAGGAGTATTCTACTTTGAGAAGCACTATCTTTATTTTCACTTTAACATTTTAAGTTTCTGTTTTACTAGCTACTAAAATTGTTGTTATTGTTTTTTTTTAGGAAGATGGTGATGATCTTCTTTTAAAAGCTGAAAAAGATAATCGCCAAAAGGTGTCTGGAATCCTTCAACGTGTTCTCTTGCTTTTCCGGGCAGCTCGGTGTTCTTTTCCTGTAGCACAGTGGTACATCTTGCAGTTGAGATGGGCAAGAAAAGTCATGCAGAAGGTATGGAAATGTCCTAGTCACTTATGTGCTATTGAAATAGGGAAGAACCTTTTGTATTCTATTACAGGTTAATCACTAAAGGGTTATTGCTTCTAACCTTAAATTATACATAATGGCCCATCTTTGGGAACCCTGCTTCCCTGCTAATGAGCATTAAGCTAAAATACCTCTTTTTAGCTAACAGGAAACGTCCTGACCAGGCCCACCTGTGAATGACTGCAGGGAGGAAGAAACTAACACATGCCTTCCAGAGGCTGATGGGAACCAGGAAGTGTTTGACTTTACTCCCTCCCCTTTTAGTATAAAAGGAGCCTGAATTCTGACTCAGGCAAGATGGTTATTTGTGGCATGAGCCCACCATCTTCTCGGTTTGCTGGCTTACCGAATAAAGTCGTTATTCCTTGCCCCAAGAACTCATTTCTCGGTTATTGGCCTGTAGTGCAGCAAGCCGTATGAGCTTAGACTCGGTAACAGTATGGTAAACAATTTAAATATACTAATATTTATTAATATTTATAATTGTGATATTTTCCCAAGGAGTCCTGCCCTATAAATCCATAAATTTCAGGCTTATTTGTAGTACGAAACCTGCTTCTCAAAGTAGAATACTCCTGGACATTTATAAAGGAAGTTTTGAGGCATGGCCTCAGAAATTAAAAGTCATGCAGAAGGTATGGAAATGTTCTTTCTGCTGAAAGATAAGGACTCTGAACTGGAGCTCAGTGTTAGTCCCATGTGGTCTGACAATAGAAAGTGTAACCTAGTCAGTTAATTCCAGGTAATTTCAGTTACTTTTATTTTTTCCCTAGTTACTTTCTTTTCCCACAATCATTGAAGATTTGAGCTTAGTTCAGGGTTTACCCCACTTCTTCCTGAGACGTTACCTGTGTTCCGTGGGGGCTTCTGTGGTGTCAAACCGTGGAGAGTTAGAGTTAGTTCTTGGTGGTGTGTCACTCCCGGTCAGAGTCTCCCCCCTTCCTGTCTTCGGAGATGGGCAGTTCAGTTTGATTCTGGGGCTGTCATCCTCTTCTACAGTGACCTCAGCTGAGATGTGGCTGTATTCTTACCTGATCTGCAGCCAGATGGGACATCTGCTTGTATGTCCCTTACCCAGCTGCAATTCCTTTGTTGTCTGTCTCTCTGTAAAATGTGGAGCTAAATATTATTAGCCCCCAAAATCTAAAATTTGGCCCTTGATTAAATTACTAAATGTAATGAGAGTTTACAACTTTTTTTAGTAGAAATCCTAAGAGAGACTGAGAAGTTGTTTATCAAGTTGTTTTTGAAAATTATCCTTTTTTAGAGAGAAAGGTTTGTGAAATTTGCATGCAGCTACCATAAAAATACGAGTTAAAACTATTAAAACTATACTCATTCTATATCTTGTTATCCCAAAGGTGTGTTTAAGGATGTTTACTAAGAACGGCAAAGAGTTTTCCTGTATTATTGAAAGATTGTTTTTAATAGTTTCAAGATCTGTTGAGCCTGAGTGTTTGTTATAGGAAACTTTATTTTAAAAATTGCTTGTTGTAGAAAACGGTTTCCTTTATTCTTTTTTATTTTTTGGGCTGCATTGGGTCTCCGTTGCTGCGCATGGGCTTTCTCTAGTTGCGGCGAGCGGAGGCGACTCTTCGTTGCGGTGCGTGGGCTTCTCACTGCGGTGGCTTCTCTTGTTGCGGAGCACAGGCTCTAGGCAAGTGAAATGTGGAAAAGGAAGGCAGGAGAAATGAGGCACAAGGGAGGATTAGAAGAGTGATAAGGACTCAGTTCAACCTTGCTGGTTTGAAGAGGGCCATTATCCGAGGAATGAAGGCAGCTTTTAGAAACTGAAAATGTTTCCCCAGCCTATAGCCAGTAAGGAAATGGGGGACCTTAGTCCTGTAACCACGTGGAATGGAATTCTGTCAACAACCTGAATGAGCCTGGAAATAAATTTCCCCTAGAATCTCTAAAAAGGAAGGCAGCCTTGCTGTTACTTTGATTGACTTTGTGAGACTCTAAGCAGAGAGCCAGCTGAGCTGTACCTAGACTTCTGATCCACAAAAACTGTGTGATATTAAATGGGTGTTGGTTTCAGCCATCAAATTTCTGGTGATTTGTTAGGGTAGTAATAGGAAACTAATATAATGCAGAATATTTTAGCTAATTTCTTTACCATTTTTAATTGATATATAAATTACATTCCATAAAATTCACCTTTTAAAAATGTACAATCCCTTGGTTTTTAGTATATTCACAGAGTTGTGCAGCCATCACCACTGTTTAATTCCAGAATATTTTCATCACCCCAAAAAAGAAACACATTAATAGTAACTTCCATTTCCTTTTCTTCCCAGCCCCTGGCAACCATTAATTTACTTTCTGTCTCTACGAATTGGCCTACTGTAGACATTTTATATAAGTGAAATCATACAATATATGGCCTTTTGTGACTGGCTTCTTTCACTTAGCATAATGGTTTTAAAGTTCATTCATGTTGTCGCATGAGTCAGTACTTTATTCCTTTTTGTGGCTGAATAATATTCCATTGTATGGATACATAACATTTTGTTTATCTATTCATCCATTGATGGACATTTGGATTGCTTCCACTTTTTAGCTATTATGAGTAATGCTGCTATGAACATTTATGTATAAGTTTTTTTTGAGGGGTGCAGCGTATTTATTGATTGATTGATTGATTGCTGCGTTGGGTCTTTGTTGCTGTGCGCGGGCTTTCTCTAATTGTGTTGAGCGGGGGCTACTCTTGGTTGCGGTGCACAGGCTTCTCATTGCGGCGGCTTCTCTTGTTGTGGAGCACGGGCTCTAGGCACGCAGGCTTCAGTAGTTGTGGCTCATGGGCTCTAGAGCGCAGGCTCAGTAGTTGTGGCCCATGGGCTTAGTTTGCTCCACAGCATGTGGGATCTTCCCGGACCAGGGATTGAACCCGTGTCCCCTGCATTGGCAGGCGGATTCTTAACCACTGTGCCACCAGGTAAGCCCCTATGTATAAGTTTTTGTGTAGACATGTGTTATTCATCCATGGGTTAAACTGCACCAATAATTGCAAGGATATAGGTAGCCAAACGATACAGATGAAATGTAGTGAACTCTGGAATTGCATACACTGCTCCAAGTCTTTTCTCACCGTAGAAGAACGTGTCCTGGTTTTTTTTTAACGTCATGACACAAAAGGGAGCTATTTCAGTTATTTAACATCTCCTTTTTATATCTCTCTAATTATATAGCTTGTGTAACATTTTCCAGGGGTCATACTCCATAAATCCATACATTCTAGATTTGTTTCTAATAACCAGCCTAGACAGACTCTGTACATCTGGTAAATACCATTAATTTGTTTGACAAGATGTCTGTCCTTAGCATGCTTACAAGGGGATTTGACTACATCATGTCTCTCTGGAAGTGAATAGTAGAGGGAGAAAATAGATTACAAGCCTACTGCTAATCCTTTTCTTCCCAGGTTTATGTCTTTTAGATCCCTTTTCTTTTATTCTTTTTTTTTATAAGTTTATTTATTTTTATTTATTTATTTTTGGCTGCGTTTGGTCTTTGTTGCTGTGCACGGGCTTTCTCTAGTTGCAGCGAGCGGGGGCTACTCTTCTTTGCAGTGCACTTGCTTCTCATTGCGTTGGCTTCTCTTGTTGTGGAGCACGGGCTCTAGGTGCATGGACTTCAGTAGTTGTGGCACACGGGCTCAGTAGTTGTGGCTCACGGGCTCTAGAGCGCAGGCTCAGTAGTTGTGGCGCACAGGCTTAGTTGCTCCATGGCATGTGGGATCTTCCTGGACCAGGGCTCGAACTCGTGTTCCCTGCATTGTCAGGCAGATTCTTAACCACTGTGCCACCAGGGAAGTCCCCCTTTTCTTTTATTCTATCACAGTTTCCTTTTAACACACAGTAGTTTCCTTTATTTTCTATTCTTGATTTGTTAGAGAGATTAGGTAGTTGGTCCTGAACCATATTTTGGATTTGTCTGTCATTTTTTCATTTAGTGTCATTTAAGTTGTTCCTCTTTTTATTTTCTATAAGCTGGTAATTAATCTATCCTCATCAAAGTAGACAGGTTTGATTAAATTCAGGTTAACATTTTCTTAGAATTGAATCCTTAATAAGTGGTATTGTATACTTCCCCTCTGCAGCATATCATGTTGCACATACGTCTTTTTCTTTCGCTTTTCATGATATTAGATGGATCAGTGAATTTGGGTCATGTTCCACCCACTATCATGTTCTCCATCAACCCATCAATTTTTTACCTAATTAAGCATTTATTGATGATCCTTGCTAGAGTCATTTTTTATTAGGAGTTGCCGAATGATGACTTTATAATTCTGTCACTTATAGTTTTTTCAAGTTTTGTATGTAGATACACCTTTTTCTGTATTAGTTTTTAGGTAATGCACATAGGTGGAGTTAGATACTTAAGTTTATTTTCTTTACTGTTCCTTTGGGGAAAGTTAGGGCAAATAGCATTAAATTCTTTTTATACAGAAATTTTTAGGCAAAACTGAGTGACAAGAGAGGTTAATTTGGCTAGAACCTTTTTTTTTCCTTTGAGATTTAGCCTAGTGAATTTGTTGAGTTAAATTTGCGAGCTAAGTTTCTGAAAGTACAAGTGATTTCAGGGATATTTTCTTACATAGTATGGGAATCATGCTGTGTTTTCCACTCTTTATGGTTTATCTTACCTGCCTTGTTTGTTGCTTTATAGCTTCCTTAAAAATTGACTTATATGACTGGTAATTAACATATTCTTTCTTTACTTTCAGATTCGAATGAAAGGATCCCTTCCTTCATTGAGTCCTTTCCCTCAGTCGTTACTTAATTTCTGTAAAGGAGGTGTAGCATTCTTTCGACCTGGGGCAACTGGAGACCACAAGCTTGATGAAGTGTCCATTAAAGCAATAGGTTTGTCCAAAATGAGCTGCTTGCTTATAAATTAGGCTTAAATATTATTAATGGTATATTTTACATTTGATTCGGGGAAGTTTCATGTAACAGAATACTGTACTGATAATGAAAAGACCGTATGTGTATGTTGCCACCATGGAAATATATCTGAGGGAATTACCTGGTGGTCCAGTGGTCAAGAAACTGAGCTTCCACTGCAGGGGGCACAGGTTTGATCCCTAGCTGTGGAACTAAGAACCCGCGTGCCTCGTGGTGCGGCCAGGGGGGGAAAAAAAACGGAAATATATCTAAGATACATTAGGTGAAAAAAAAGAGATAGTTGCAAAACTGTATGTACATAGTATGATGTTATATATCTTTGTGTACTTGTATTACTTTTAATAAAAAAATTGTTTTATATTGGAAATTATATTTCTAATATTGAAAATTTTTTAACTTAAATGCCTATTTTTCTTTTTTATAAATTTATTTATTTATTTATTTTTGGCTGTGTTGGGTCTTTGTTGCTGTGCTCGGGCCCTCTCTAGCTGTGGTGAACGGGGGCTACCCTTCGTTGCAGTGCACGGGCTTCTCATTGCGGTGGCTTCTCTTGTTGTGGAGCACAGGCTTTAGGCACGCGAGCTTCAGCAGTTGTGGCACACGGGCTCAGCAGTTGTGGCTCCTGGACTCTAGAGTGCAGGCTCAGTAGTTGTGGCGCATGGGCTTAGTTGCTCCGCGGCATGTGGAATCTTCCCGGATCAGAGCTCAAACCTGTGTCCCCTGCATTGGCAGGCGGATTCTTAACCACTGTGCCACCAGGAAGTCCCTTAAATGCCTATTAATAAGTGATTTTCCAAATAAATTAACAATATGGTATTAAGTAGAGCTATGTGTATTGGCTTTGAAAAATATCTAAATATACTCTAAGTTTAAAACAAACTACCAATAAATAGAGTAGCTTATTTACTCTATAAAGTGTTTTTAATATTTTCATGCAAGTATGACATGTATGAAATGTTCTGGAATAATATGTGTAAAAATTCTGTAAGGATCTCCACAACTTTTATATAAAGTATTGAGTATGAGCATGTTTCTTTTGTAATCAACAGTATAAAGACATTTATTTTGGAAAAAAAATAACCAACAGTTGTTATAATATTAATGTATATACTCATACAGTCTTCTTTCATATTTCCATTCCTGATTTAGGTTGCTTCAGAGAACTTTGTGCTTTGTGTTGGATGCTGCATGTCCGTGATAAGTTATCCTATAGTTGCAGGCAATATCAGAAGGCAAGGGAAAATGTGGAGGGAAAAAAGGTATCAATTACACAAGAATAAGAAAAATAAATATTACTTGGGAAATAATTGCTCGATCGAAGAATCTAGTCTGTCCGTCTAAAATGAAAAGGAAATGATATTTTTCAATATCCATTTAGGACCTTGAAGTGAAGTTTGATTCTTGTATGGTTGAGCACTGTCTCAGTGCAGTGGAATGGGCTTGTAGAATGCTACCGTTCTCTCGGTTTTCTAATATTGAAGAACTTATTCAGGATCTAATTTTGAGCCTCATTGGAGAACTGCCACCAATCAGAGAGGTAATGTAAATGTAGGTGAAAATAAACTAAATCAGAATCAGAGACTTTAAAGAATTTAAATTTTATTTATAATTAAGAATGATGGTCATAAAACTCATTTTTTAATTTTTCTGAAGGTAGCAGAAATTTTTGTGAAAGCATTTCCCAATCCTGAGGACATAAGGGTTCCTGTAAGAGAAAAATATCACTGTCTTCAACAGAGACTCAGACACTATGTTGTGAAAGGTATTGTTTGTCATTTCTTAGATATCTGATAGGTAAATTGCTGATGATTCTCATTTTGTTTTGAAAGCATTTATTTTCTAGCGCTTATGTTTTTATGCATTTCTCTTTGGAGAAAGGAGTATGGGAAGTCAGAAGCACTTCCCCATTACGGAAGCACCAATTCTGTTGCTTTGGAACCAGACAAAGCTGACTTCATGTCATGGCTCTGTCAGTTAGTAACTGTGTGACCATAGGCAAGTTGCTCAGTATCTCTAAGCCTCTTTTCCTTATTTGTAAAATGAGTATATTAATACTTCTTTATGAATATGTATTGAAAGAGGATTAAAAAAGATAAAATATATAAAATGAATATATAATGCTTTGTATAATCAGATATTTTATTGAAAACTAGTATTCTCCTTTTATGGTTATTTATGCTCCTTATTTTCTACTATGCATTCAAGATGACCTTGTGAAAATTTTTTTTATTGTAGTAAAATATAAATAATATAAAATTTACCATTTTTAAGTGTACAGTTCAATGGCATTAAGCACAGGCATACCTTGGAGATATTGCAGGTTTGGTTCCAGACCACCATAATAAAGTGAATAATGCAGTAATGCAAGTCACATGAATATTTTGGTTTCCTAGTGCATATAAAAGTTATGTTTGCAGTATACTGTAGTCTATTAAGTGTGCTCTAAAAAAAGGCAATGTATATACCTTAATTAAAAAAGTACTTTATTGCCAAAAAATGCTAACCATTATCCGAGTCATAATCATAAACAAGTCATAATCTTTTTGCAGTAGTAGCATTAAACATCACTGATCACAGGTCACCAAAACAAATCTCATAATAATGAAAAAGTTTGAAATGCTGTGAGAATTAGCAATATGTGACACAGAGACATGAAGTGAGCAAATGCTGCTGGAAAAATGGCACCAGTAGACTTGCTTGAAGGTTGCCCCAGACCTTCACAGGTATTGCAATTTGTACAAAATGCAATATCTGTGGAGTGCAATAAAATGAGGTATTCATAATGTTGTAGAAATTTTTAAAGAATTCAAATTACTCTCTGTTTTAGAACTATAGTCTAGTTATTTAAGTCTAGTAATATACTATGATGTACATTATTGCATTAATGTATTTACATTGTATTTGTGATTTATATTTTTTCAGACTTTTTGAAATCTCTAAAATGTCATGTTTATGTATTAATGGTATTTAAAAATTGTTATGCAGGCAGTCTTGAAAAACCTCCCTTTCTATTGTTTTCTGTTACTTGAAGTCAGAAAGGTGTTTTTGTTTCTTTGGCTAAAATTATACTTATTTTCTCTTGTGTGCCACTCTGTGGGAGTGAGAAGAATGTTAGTGATTCTTTCTCTAATTATCAGATTTTTGAACCAGTTAAATTGCTTCTAAATTTTTTGTTTTCCAGGGCATACTTTTTTATGGAGTCACTTTTATTGTTCTTTAATGGACCTTTTCTAGCTTCTCCTGTTCTACCTTAAAAATATGGAGCATACCTTTCTAACAGATACTGAAAAAAAGCATGATCTGTAAGATTGTAGAACTAAGCCTTAGCCATCAGTTAGATTTCATGTTCCCAGCGGGGGACCAGAATTGGATCCCCTTATGTCTTGAGTTGAAACATTTTAATGAACTTTAAGGCCTTTTGTTCTTTTCTTTCTAGGTCCCCAAACTCAGGAAATGATGTCTGTTATCATGCATTCTATCCATAAAGTGAGGGTAAAAGCTCTGAAACGTGTGCAGAGAAATATAGGTTCTTTTGAGATGAATATATGGGAACCAACTGAAGAAGAAAAACCAGCTGAGGTTCTAGGTTTTGACAAGTTTTCCTTGGGAACTAGTTTGAGCAGGAGCACACTCACAGAACCAGGGAATTCTGTGGTCCACAGTGATGCAGATACAGCTGATACTTTCTCAGAAGCTTTGTTGGCTGAAGAAAAAAGTAGGATACATTTCTCTCAAAGGTACAATATTTCTCGTAATAGAAAGCATTCACTTCCTTTGGGAACAAAGTACTTTCAGTATTTTCATGCAACTGATGACCTGATTTTTATTTCCAGCAACCTCACTGATTGTATTATTACCACCCTCCATACCCACAAGAATGTTAGGAGTGTAAGATGAGACTTGAAAATCCATTTAAAATATTACTGAGATACAAAATAATTTTGCCACCTGAAGGTGTAAAATAAAATGAGTAAATGAAATTCTAGAGTTCACTGGAGGACTTTTAGTTCTTTCAGCAATCTTAGACTTAAATAGTTCAGGATTATTTGGTTAGCTATATTATTTTTAGAGTTTCCAGAAAAGGAATTTGCAAATTCATCTTTTTTCTTTCTTTTTGCACATTCATCTTTAAAGCTTGTCTGTAAATTGTTGAGAAATTCTTATCAGTTAAACCTCTGTTAACTTTGATTTAAGCAGATTTTTTTCTTTATCATTCAGTATCTACAATGCAGTTTATCCTTCTCATGACTGAAAGACTATATAATCAACCATAATCTTGCTTAAGTGAAATAATATCATCTACTTCAAACATCTGCTTAAACTGTTTCTGGTAGTATCATAAATGATGTGCTTGTTTCACCAAACAACTTCAGTGTTAGCACAGGAATACCTTGGAGACTGCTTATTTTGCATTCTTAATAGGAAGAGACATGGCGGCTTCAGCCCAGGTGCCTACCTAGAAGCTTTCTTTTATTGAGGGAACTAGGGATCTGTGTTCTGCCCTAAGAACCATGTTGAAAGGAAACAGATTTAAAAGTAATTATGGCTGGTAGTTAGGTGCCTGCCCAACAGGTTAATAGCAGCAGAAAGTGTTTAGAAAAATACCCAACTTTTGTGTGGTAAAGAATCCTGAGGGCAGTCCTGCTTATCATACAGGGAAGCTGAAAGGGGTAGATGCAAGAGAGAAACAGAAAACTGTAAACTATGATGTGTATTGGTGGCTTGTGAATTTTTATTGACTTTGTATAGTATTTCTAAATTCTGACCTGTTAGAGGACCTTTTTTTTTTTTCCCCCAGAAAAAGTCATGTTTTTTTTAATAGTGAAATTTCTGTGAACACATTTTAATCTTTTTTAACATAAAATTTCCCTTTTGATATTAATCTGTTATATTTTTTGGACTCAGAATGTTCAGCTCGAGTGAATACTTAGAGATCTTTGCCCCTTATTTGAAAGATAGGTTATCAAGGCATCAAAAAACAAGAGGTATGACTTAACCAGCGGAGAGAATTTTTATTGTCAATGCTAAGATCATTTTTAGTGATTAAATGATCTTAATTTTGTCTTTTTAAATTTTATTTTGCTATAGAAATGCCCCAAATCACATGGAATTAACATTGACTGGTAAGCCCAGTGGAAAAAAGAAAATATGTAATCAGAAGGAAAACCCTAAAAGAAAAGAAGATCGTGAAAAGTTGTTACAAAATGCACTTCCTGTAATAGGTGTTTGGGAATTTGAACGTGACGATGATGAATATATTAAATTCCTTGAACTCTTCTTGAGTTATGTTCTTGAAAGAGACCTACTTGGTTCCAAGGATGCTGGCATTCCATTTCTAACTAGCTTTTCTGGGCATCTTAGAGAACATGAACTTAATTCTTTACTTTTTGATGTACATACAACATTAAAACGACGTCAGGGCAAAACCAAAAACCAGAATGTGTTTAGAGCTGGTTCTTGCTTTGTTGTTGCTCCTGAGTCATATGAGTATGAAAAATCAGAAAACCAGACACTTTCAGCTTCTGTACTGGTTAATCAAGGGATCAGGCCTTTTTTAGAGAACCCTTTGAATGAAGTCAATAAAAATGAAGGGAAGAGTGGGTTGTTTGGTTTAAAACAGAAGTCAGTTTACAGAATACAAGATGACAATGCAGAGAAAACTTTAATACAGAGATGGGCAAACCATAGTTTTTGCACTCCCAAGTCTATTGAAACTAGAAGATGTATTTTCAAAGCAATTCAACGCAATGATATTAACCCTCAAGAAGATCTTCCTCTAGCACTAAGTAACACATTTGCCAGTATAAGAAGGCTGTTGGAATGGATGATAAGATGGTCTGATAGAAGACTGCTCTGTGATTTTGGTCTCACTGCGTCATCCTGTGAGTACAGTCCCGTCATTCGTGTAAAGACTTCTACAGCTGCCATTCTTACATCATTGTGGCTTTTGAAACAACCCTATTTTGCTACATATAAGGCAAAAAATGCCATTATTAAGGTAAATACTTGAATTGTTAATTACATACAAATGAGAATTCTCATTTTAGGTTAAAGCTATATTTATATTTCCCTATATAATAAAGAATCACTAAGTAACAAAGTTAATGACAATGCTGATTATAACCTGTATCACCTAATTTTTTAAAGTGGTTCCTTTAATTCTTAAAAATGATAAATTAGGGTTAAAGTGCTTTCAGAGAGGCTGTGAGGTTTTGAGATTTCATGTGTGTTTATAAAAAGGAAAAAGAGAGAGTTCTCTGGTGGTCTAGTGGTTAGGATTTGGTGCTTTCACTGCCGTGGCCCAGGTTCAGTCCCTGGTTGGGAAACTGATATATCCTGCAAGCTGTGTGGAGTGGCCAAAATTAAAAAAAAAAAAAATGAGGAAAAAGGAGATAATTTTAAGTGATATTACAAGTGGTATTACATTTCTGTTATTTCTTTTGAAAGTTTTAGGGTTTTGTTCAGATGAGGAAGAACTAGGCAGCTGTCCAGTTTTTATTACTGATAATCTCATTGTATGTATTAGGGGATCATCTTTTCTTATACTATCTGGCAGATGAGGTTGGAGGACCAAACCTAGAAAGGCAGATGGATATCAGTAGAGAAATTAATGCTTACGGGTTATTCTTTCTTTTTTTTTTTGCGGTACATGGGCCTCTCACTGTTGTGGCCTCTCCCGTTGCGGAGCACAGGCTCCGGACGCGCAGGCTCAGCGCTTGAAAGAGACCTACTTGGTTCCAAGGATGCTGGCATTCCATTTCTAACTAGCTTTTCTGGGCATCTTAGAGAACATGAACTTAATTCTTTACTTTTTGATGTACATACAACATTAAAACGACGTCAGGGCAAAACCAAAAACCAGAATGTGTTTAGAGCTGGTTCTTGCTTTGTTGTTGCTCCTGAGTCATATGAGTATGAAAAATCAGAAAACCAGACACTTTCAGCTTCTGTACTGGTTAATCAAGGGATCAGGCCTTTTTTAGAGAACCCTTTGAATGAAGTCAATAAAAATGAAGGGAAGAGTGGGTTGTTTGGTTTAAAACAGAAGTCAGTTTACAGAATACAAGATGACAATGCAGAGAAAACTTTAATACAGAGATGGGCAAACCATAGTTTTTGCACTCCCAAGTCTATTGAAACTAGAAGATGTATTTTCAAAGCAATTCAACGCAATGATATTAACCCTCAAGAAGATCTTCCTCTAGCACTAAGTAACACATTTGCCAGTATAAGAAGGCTGTTGGAATGGATGATAAGATGGTCTGATAGAAGACTGCTCTGTGATTTTGGTCTCACTGCGTCATCCTGTGAGTACAGTCCCGTCATTCGTGTAAAGACTTCTACAGCTGCCATTCTTACATCATTGTGGCTTTTGAAACAACCCTATTTTGCTACATATAAGGCAAAAAATGCCATTATTAAGGTAAATACTTGAATTGTTAATTACATACAAATGAGAATTCTCATTTTAGGTTAAAGCTATATTTATATTTCCCTATATAATAAAGAATCACTAAGTAACAAAGTTAATGACAATGCTGATTATAACCTGTATCACCTAATTTTTTAAAGTGGTTCCTTTAATTCTTAAAAATGATAAATTAGGGTTAAAGTGCTTTCAGAGAGGCTGTGAGGTTTTGAGATTTCATGTGTGTTTATAAAAAGGAAAAAGAGAGAGTTCTCTGGTGGTCTAGTGGTTAGGATTTGGTGCTTTCACTGCCGTGGCCCAGGTTCAGTCCCTGGTTGGGAAACTGATATATCCTGCAAGCTGTGTGGAGTGGCCAAAATTAAAAAAAAAAAAAATGAGGAAAAAGGAGATAATTTTAAGTGATATTACAAGTGGTATTACATTTCTGTTATTTCTTTTGAAAGTTTTAGGGTTTTGTTCAGATGAGGAAGAACTAGGCAGCTGTCCAGTTTTTATTACTGATAATCTCATTGTATGTATTAGGGGATCATCTTTTCTTATACTATCTGGCAGATGAGGTTGGAGGACCAAACCTAGAAAGGCAGATGGATATCAGTAGAGAAATTAATGCTTACGGGTTATTCTTTCTTTTTTTTTTTGCGGTACATGGGCCTCTCACTGTTGTGGCCTCTCCCGTTGCGGAGCACAGGCTCCGGACGCGCAGGCTCAGCGACCATGGCTCACGGGCCCAGCCGCTCCGCGGCATGTGGGATCCTCCCGGACCGGGGCACAAACCCGTGTCCCCTGCATCAGCAGACTCTCACCCACTGCGCCACCAGGGAAGCCCGGGCTATTCTTTCTTTTCTCTACCCAGTGGCAAGTAAAAGGCTGCTCTTTTAAGCTAACTGCTTGCAAGGCAAGTATTTTTTTCATAAATATCTTTTGATTGAGTACTTGCTGTTGTACTCCAGAAAAAGATGGAGGTGAATTTCTTGGAAAACAAATTTCTATATGGTAAAGTAGTTGGGACATGGACTTTTTTTTTAATATTTGGAGAATTCCAATAGTACCTAAATTTGTTCTTTTTTTTTCAGTTTTATTGAGGTATAATTCAAATTTGCTTTTGTTTCCTTTGCTTTTGGTGTCAAATCCAAAAAATCATCATCAAGGAGCTTAACTGCCTGTCTTTTCTTCTAGGAGCTTTATAGTTTCAGGTCTTACTTTCAAGTCTTTAATCAATTTTGAGTTAATTTTTGTGTTGGCTTCTATGTTGGCTGCATAAATATTAATTGATGTTATATATTCTTGATGAATTGGCCCCTTTATCATTATATAATGAGCTTCTTTGTTGTTATAGTCTTTGGCTTAAAGTTCGTTTTTTCTAAATATAGCTACCCCTGTTTTCCTTTGGTTTCTGCTTGCATGGAATGCTTTTCCATCTCTTCACTTTCAGTATGCGTGTGTCTTTAAAGCTGAAGCGAGTCTCTTGTAGGCAGTATACAGTTGGGTCTTTTTTTTAATCCGTTCAACTACTCCATGTCTTCTGATTGGAGAATTTAGTCCATTTACCTTTAAATCAATTATAGATATGTTTGGATATGTATGGACTTAAAACTGCCATTTTGTTAATTGTTTTCTGGTTGTTTTGTATTTCCTTTGTTCTTTTCTTCCTCTCTTGCTGTTTTTGTTTGTTTGTTTGTTTGTTTGTTTTTGGCCATGCCGCATGGCTTACAGGATCTCAGTTTCTTTCCCAACCAGGGATTGAACCCAGGCCACAGCAGTGACAATGCAAATCCTAACCACTAGGCCACCAGGGAACTCCCTCTTCCTCTTTTGCTCTATTCTTTGAGATTTGAATATTTTCTGTAGAGGTATGCTTGGATTCCTTTTAAAAAATCTTTTGTGGGTTTTTTGTTTGCTTGTTTACTATAGGCTTTTGCTTTGTGGTTACCATGAGGCTTATACTAAAACAAGTTATGTTTGTAATAGTCTGTTTTAAGCTGATAACTTAACTTCGAATGCATACAAAAGCTCTGCATATTTATTACACTACCCCTCTCCCTGCATTTTATATTTTTGATGTAACAATTTATATCTTTTTACATTGTATATCCATTAATAAATTATTGTAGTTATAGTTATCTTTAATACGTTTGTGATTTATTCTTCATAGTAGAGTTATGAGTGTTTAACCCACCACCATTACAACACTAGAATATTCTGAATTTAGCTATATATTTACCTTTACCATGAGTTTTATACTTTCGTATGTTTTTCTGCTACTAATTAGCATCTATTTGTTTCAGCTTGAAAAACTCTTTGTAACTTTTCTTGTAAGGCTGGTTTAGTGGTCATGAACTCCTTCAGCTTTTGCTTGTCTGGAAAACTATCTTTCCTTCAATTCTGAAGGACAACTTTGCTGGGTAGAGTATTCTTGGTTGGCAGTTTTCTTCTTTCAGCACTTTTAATATATCATGCCATTCCCTTCTGGACTACAGAATTTCTGCTGAAAAATCTACTGATAACATTATAGGGGTTCCTCTATATGTAACAAATTGTTTTTCTTTTGCTGCTTTTAAGATTCTCTCCTTGTTTTTAACTCTTGTCTCTTGGTGTAGGTCTCTTTGGATTTATGTTATTTTTGAACTCTCTGGGCTTTCTGGATCTGATGTCTGTTTATTTCCCCAGGTTTGAGTAGTTTTCAGCCATTATTTCTTTGAATAAGCTTTTTACCCCTTTCTCTCTTTCTGGAACCTCTGTAATGCATATATTGGTCCCTTAAGTTATCTGCACTCTTTTATTCTTCTTCCTTCTTGCTTCTTTGATTCCACTGCCCTATTTTTGAGTTCTCTGGTCCTTTTTTCTGCTTGATTTAGTCTGTTACTGAATCCCTTCAGTGACTTTTTCAGTTCAGCTATTGTGTTCTTCAGTTCTAATTTACGTTTTGTACTTTTTTTGTATTTTCTATCTCTTCCTTGAAAGTGTCACTTTGTTCATGCATTGTTGGCCTCATCTCAGTGATTGTTATTTTAGATCTCTATCAGGTAAATCACTTATCTCTTTCATTAAGATCTGTTTCTGGAGATTTATCTTATTCATTTGTTTGGAACATATTCCTCTGTTTATTTTCTTTGAGTCTCTTTGTTGGTTTCTGAGCATTAGATAAAATAGCCACATTGCCCAGTCTGAACAAAGTGGTCTTATGTAGGAGATGAACCTCATCAGTTAGCCTGGCTTGAGCTTTTGGTTGTCTCTGAAACCTTTGTGATTATCTAAGCCTCCTTTGTTCTTAGTGATTCCTAGTAGTTGAGGTTATGCGAAGACCTGTCAGTGTCCCAAAGGGGTAGATCACATTTAGCACCAGATGCAGGCTGATTGGAAGCCAGACCCTGAGACAGCATGTGGCAAAGTATGTAGTTAAGCCCTTCTTGGGGAGTAACTGGGGGATGGGTATTGTTGCCTGCTCCCTGTGGTCTGGGCCCATGTGTATAGCCATTGTGGGTATTCCTGCACCCATTAAGAACTGCTTCTTTGTTTGCTTCAGTCCTGTAGGACTTGTGAATACAAGCCCTACTGGCTATCAGAGGCAGGTGGTCCAGGGACCTCCCCCTCAGTTAGCAGCTGCAAAAACTGGGGCAACATATGCGTGTACAGGCTCCTTCTAGGGAGATACTGGTGACTTGGAGCAGGCTAGATAGAGAAGATAGAGGAGGTGTTCTTTGGCTTCCCTGGTGTCTGGGGAGGGCTGTAGCCAGGGATGGGATCCCCAGGCAGCAGCTTACAAAGTATGCAGATGGACTTATTCCAGGGGAAGACTGGGAGATGGCTGTTTTTGCCTGCCCCTCTGTGCTAAGCCCTGTGGGGATAGCTGCAGTGGAGTGCTCACACACTTGTTAATAACTGCTTCTTTGTTTGCTATAGTCTTGTGGGTTTCATGGATACAAGATTCTTCTGCTCTCAGAGCTAGGTGCTTTGGGGGCCTGACTCTCAAGTAGGAGTCTTAAAAGTCTGGGCACTAAATGTAGGGTCGAAACCCGTTGCTTTTTAGAAGCTGGAAGTTAGAAGTTCCCTCCCGCTTGTAGGGTGCTGTTCCGGGGTTGGGGTTTATGGTCAGATTGTGTTTCAGCCTTAACTACCTGTTTCAGCATGTGTTTTCTTATTCTCCTGATGTGTAGGAGTCACTCAGTGAGTTTCTGGATTTCTTTTCAGTGGTAATTTTCTGTGTGTAGTTGTACGTTCAGTGTGTCTGTGAGAGGAGAATTCAGGAGCCTCCTGTGTTGCCATCTTGGCCAACACCCCTCCACACTTTTTAATTCTTCATTTGTTCTGTTTTGAATTGCCTTCATTTTAAACTAGTTTATTCTGGGTTGAAGAAATTTTGTTTTGTTTTATGTTTTCTTTTTGTGTTTTTTTTTTCCCTTTTTTTGAGATCAGTTTCTGTTATTGTAAGGTAGTTTAGAAGATACTGTGATATTTGTTGTCATGGAAATTTTTAAGTGTTTCTAGGTGATGCATACCTTAATTTCTAAGTAAAACAAAAAAGATACATCCCTTGTATTTTTAGCTGCATATATTTTTGCCCACTATGTCATTTTGGAATAATTACTAAATGTCTTTATAACCGTAAAGAGAGTGAAATGAAAGCAACTTTACATTTTTATTGCTATTGTTCTGTGGCCTGAAAACACTGGTGATATACCTTTCAAGTTTGTAAGGCTGATTTCTTTTGAATACTCTTTAGGTAGTCAAGCTTATTTTTTCTAGGTGGAATAAAGACAGTCATTGCTTCAGCATCAAATAATGAGTATTAGAAATGCAGTAAATACTTGGTAAATGAATAAGAGACTTAATCAGGAGAAGTTCTGTAGGAAGTATTAATAATCTAAAAATATAATGAAAAGTAAGGGATTCAGTAATGAATATTAAGTACTATAAATGGTTTGTTTTAGGTGCTAGAGAATAATTACCCTGAGCCTCAGAATGGACCCAATATAGAGAGTGATTATAAAACAGATGCTGGTTGTTCTGTTGCAGTATCCACTCAAGGTGGGAGTGAGGAAAGAAATGATCAGAATGAATCTTGTCAAAGTATCCTGAAGTAAGTTGCTGATTATACCTTCCTTTTCAAATACCTTGTTTGATGGTGTTTGGGCTTAAAGGAGAATTGAACCCTTGAAGGTTAAAGAAATGAGCATTTCTTTGAACTAGAGAAGCAGTAAGCAAGTGCTTTCTGAAGTACTTTAACAATTCGGTACAAATTTTGTTTCTTTATGTGTTGGTCTAGCTTATATCTTGTAAGAGAGGAGCTAATTTATCCCAAGAGATCCCTTTATTATGTTCATTGATTTCCTGTGTCAGAGGAAGTTGAACTAATCATCTCATCCATTTTTACGTATTAAGTTATGCTACAAGTAATGTATCTTTGAATACTAAAGCTGAAGCCTTGGTAGCAGGAAGATTCCTTTGTGAGAATGGCAAATTTAGAAAAGTCGAAATTATTCTAATCCTTTGAGTAAATAAAAACGGGACATTCAATTACTTATTGAACAACCTTTTGTTAAGCTTCTGGTATTTGCCATACATGGTTAAAAAACAAACTTTATAAATACGAAAGCTTAGTTTGTTCTTTTTCAATAAACTGAATCAATTGAAAGCAAGCTCTTTGTTCCCAAGAATGAGTTATAATTTTAGCTGCTTAATTTTTGTCAATAGAATGCCAACTGAAGTAAAAAATCCCGAAATAAAAGGAACCAATGATGAGATTATTTCTGTCACTGATGATACTGAAAAAGTATTTGTAGATATTGAGGAGGATCTTTTAGAAGTAGAAACATTTACACAGGAGGAAATGGATATATACCCATCAGACTATGAAGGTCAGTTCATTTAGCTAATCTTTTTGTTTGACCTTACTAATTTGATATTGGTGAATGATTATCTGAGATAACTTAGTCTTACATCTAAATTGGCATGTTTATAATAGCCTAAAGCCAAATATTTAGAGTATTTAATATTTATGAAACGTTAAGCATATTAACTTATAACCTGAATATACAATTTTGAGGCCTTTTGCCTTGCTGTGTAATTATTATGGGTCTCCTCATTGCTGTGAACCAATTCTATGAACCTTTCCTTGGCAGTCTTCTTTAAAACAGAAACTCTCAGAGCTTTATATGGAGTTATACACACTGATATGAGGCCTCTCAAGGCTCACCTGTGATTCACTTGATGAAGAGGGGTTGTCTCTAGGTGTTTAAAGATATTTTTGTAAGGAGGATAGAAAATGTTTCTGCCATTATATTTGTTTCCTATAATATTTCTGAACATTCTAAAAAGAAAATTGATTATTTTTCAAAAGGTCAGTTTTCTCTTCCTTCTTGTTTCCGTGTAGAGGATGCCAAAGAATCTGTTGGAATTGTTAAAAGTCCCAGTATTGCGTCTTACATGCAGATGCAGACTTTACCACAGCATTTAGAAGAAGTAAGTCTATAAGTAGTGGATAAAGTTACTTAAATTATGCTATGGTAACACTATAGTGTTTTATTCAATATATCCAACCAAGGCTATTATCTCTTAAAAGTGTACTGTGGGTTGTAGAGTGTAGCCATGCAGCATTTTTCTTTCACTGAAATTCTATTATTAGTTAGATGTCTAATAATTTCAGGCAATGAAATGTTAATTTCATAAACTGCTGTAGTAATTTAATCAGGAGTGATGCAAGTGTTCCATATTCAGAATGTATAATTCAGCAGTAGTGTGCAGTTTTTACACATACATGCACTTTTATGTATTACTTGTTTTCTCAAAACTCTATACTCTAGATTTCCAGGTAGAACACAGACATCTCTAATTATTGAAACAATTCCTTTAAGAAGGATTTTTTTTTTTTTTTTTCTGATTTTCTAGTTGTTTTCACAGCGTACAGTTGGCCCTTGAACAACATGGCAGTTAGGGGCTTTGACCCCCATGCAGTCAAAAATCCTCATCCATTCATCCCTTAGTATTCATGGAGGATTGGTTCCAGGACCTGGCGCGGATTCAGCCAACCCCAGATGGTGTAGTGTATTTACTGAAAAAATCTGCATATAAGTGTACTCCCTTAGTTCAGACCAGTGTTGTTCAAAGGTCAGTTGTACTTACTTATGTAGTGATGTGTGTGTCATTTAATTTACAAATACATTGTAAATACATTGTAAATGATTTCTAGTGACATCATTTGTCTTTGTAGTTTAATATGCTCAGTGGCTCAGGGTGATGGGCCAAAGGCATCATAGTATAAAGGTCTAGTCAGAGCAGGACTGGGAGTACATTTTAATGTTTGGTTTCGCACTTGCTTTTAGACTGTTTTTATTCCAGGCGAATGGCTAATGTGAAACTCAAGATACCTCAGACAGTAATACCTGTTTGTTTCACCTATTTTCTTTTTGGGTACTATTAATTTTAACAGCATTCCACAGGAGAGTTTCAGTGTCCAAGGGAAGAACTGTTAGAGACATGTATGGAGGAAAAATCAACTGAACAGAAAGGGTAAGGGGGAAAAAGTATGGAAGGCTTTCAAAGCTCATCTGGGATTCACTTGATGAAGAGGGTTTTTTGTTTTCCTCATCATTGACAATATATATTTTATGGTGATACTGTGTTCCTACTGAAATTGTAACCTCAATTTAATAGTAATGGTAGTGATGATTTTTAGTAAATTCTATATTTCTAAATCTTGGTAGAGTGAAATAAATAATGATGTCTAAAATGCTTTTTGTTCTCCTGTCACTATCAACCTTAAAGTAAAATATAGCTGTGAATAGACCAGAGTTATTCAGCTGCTAATTAGGGTACTCCCTTTCCCT